TGTGGCGCCCACCGCGCGATGGCGGCACCGCGCTGACGGCCCTTAGTGCGCATGCGCGCGGCGCGCCAACCGGCGGGAAACCACCCATCGTTCCGACCGGTCGCACTGCGCATGTGCCAACACCGCCGCCGGGCGGTCCTCCCGCCTCACACCACGAGGGGGCAGCACCGGGCCCCGCAGAGCTCCGGGGCTCGGCAGGGGGCCCGGGGGCAGGACTCTGCCCCGTCGCCCGCCAGAGAGCCCTGGGGCTCGGCCGGGGTCCTGCTAAGACCCTTCTGCCCTCCGGAGAGCCCCGGGGCCTCAGCCGGGACCTGGCAGGACCCTGCTGCCCTCCGCATTGCCCCAGGGATTTTTCTGCCGGGGGGACTGTTTCTCTCCTCCTTTTCCCTCTCCTTCTGCATCATCTGCTCCTCTTCCTCCAGGACTTTCGCAGGTTGGAAGCTGCAAGTGGATCTGTGCTCCGCGGGACTTCTGAAGATCTAAGGAAAACACAGGGCAGAAACGTCCACTGTACTGGGACAATTCAGGTTCAGCCCTCCTGTCACCACGTCCATGGCTCCAAGTGAACGTTTCCCAATTTCACTCACATCACGGAGCAGACATCCACGTCCTTTCATTCTCCCCCAGCTGACACTCTGCTGCTCCCTGTCCAGGGACGGGCGAGACACTTCAGCACTGCCACAAAAAGGGAAGGGACACCAAAAAGCACGTGCTCAGACTCAGGCTCTGCTGGGACACCCCTTCCCCGTGAGGTACGGGCAGACCCCATGCTCAGCGGAGTTTGCAGACCGTGCAGGCTCCCCAGAAAACACTGAAAATACGTCACCTTGAAAGTGATCTCTGCCAGGCACCGCAGAAGGTGGGAAGTCCCGAGTACACCTCAGTCTGCTTACGAGCATTTCTTCCCCTTAGAGATGTATTCACCACATGTCTTGCAACTAAAAGTCTGTAACACATCAAAAGGACAAACAGACCAATAAAAGTGCAAATGATTTTCACGCTGTGTCAGCCCAGCTTCTGAGCAATGGTTATTTTTGCCTTCGGAAATTCACAATACCCACTCTTCAAACAGCCCCAAAATCACCTATGGTATCTCTTCCCTCTCTTCTCCCTTTTCTTCAGCTCTGTCACCTCTTAGCGGCTGCCGGCGGCAGCTCCCCTGCAGTGGACAGGGTTAAATAATCCCCACCAAACTCCTCGGGGTCTGCCTGGCTCCGCAGCCCGCAGCCCAAGCCCCACCCCCCTCAGCCCTCCCACGATTTTAGGGCCTAACCCGCTTACCCTGCCGGGGACC